CATTTGCCCCAACAAATATTGAATTCTGCTAAAAATCTTCCCTTTGCTGGAATTTTTTTTACTGAAGATCAACCTGCCGAAACTACTTTTTGTGCACTTTGGCTTGATTGAATGCAAGCGTTCACGGAGTCTGTTTGCATGTGCTCACTGAAATATTAGCGATTTGCAGGAACCTCGGCTTTCGAACCGGTCGCGCCGTGCACTCGTTCATAGTCATGATTTACAGCGGCATTTGAATGTCACTCTTAAATTGGTATGCCGCGAAACTTTTGAATACTGACGCTGGTTCCTCCATTTACGACCCCTTCCGTTGGCCAAATACGACCATCCCCACATTGAACTTCGCACAACGGATGGTTGACCCTGCTTCACGTTGACTAACCTCTCCACAGATGATTTAATCCAACCTCCAACGGCGTATAAACAGCCGTTGAGCACAGAGACAGAATGTCCGTATCGTTCTTCACCCATAGATGCTACGCTGGTCCACTGATTTCGGCGAGGATCATATCTGCAACAGTGAGCATTCCAATATCAAGAAGACAGTCGTAGTATCAATGTCTACCGTTCAACAATATTCAGAATCCTGCATCACTCGTCCGCCCACCGCATAAATGAAACCGTCAAGCGTGGCCACACCATGTCCATCCCGTGCATTGGACATGGGAGCTACGTCACTCGACCATGTTTCAGTAGCGGGATCAAATCTAAAGCATACCTAGAGAATTAAACGTCCAAGATTCACTGTGTGTCCATATTGATGTTAATAATCAGCAAATCAGACTTTATTATAGTCCTTTTCATCTGCAAATGAGCAGGTCATACCTCTCACTGCTTTTCAAATACGTCGTTCCATCGTAGCCACCAACAGCGTAGAGAAAGTTGTCGAAGACAGCTACACCAACTCCGTCCTAGAGAAAACGTTCATGAGCATTAAGGTAGCCTTAAAATGTGATGACCTTGCCTTTTCGTACTCATGGGAGCAACGCTCTGCCAAGCAGGATTTGATTCTCCTTGGATCGAGGCGTTCCACAGAAGCGATGGCCTCACCACAACATCCTCCCACTAAAAGCTGTATGAGTTAAATATGATAAAACCAGACTCGCCTCCCAGCAGCCTTCGGGAACTCCTTTCCCTCGCTACGCTAGCACCCCACCGTTGTTATATTTCCCACTTACGAGGTCAATACCCAGAGTCCAGCGGGGCGTGGATGCAAACTTTGAATTACCGCCCCCCCCCCCTCAGCGCAACTCTCCTCTGCATACTTACGGCTAGTGAGAGATGTGACTTTCAACACATGTGATGACCTTGAATGAGGTTACCTACTTGAGGAACCCGTTGAAAATTGAATACTATTTGAATTCCATTGACAGACATAGCATAATAATCTTGATCTCGAAGGGCGAATTCCAATATTGAAGAAAATTGGAACGTTTCTCACGGCTATTTCCCAAAGTAGGCCGAAATTCACTGATGGTAAAAGGACGTTTTTGGTAATGAGATGAGGAAAATTTGGGAACGCTGCTTTGCACTTTATAAAGTCATGACTTCTTTCCAATGCAATAATATCATCGCCCTCACGACCTCAGGTCTGGCGGGGAGGGGCAACATTACGAACAAGCAGTGGTACTACGTCGATAGAACTTGCTCCTACCCTGACTCAATGAACACAATTGTATTGAACCACCGCGAGGTATTTTATAAATGGGTAAATAAAACTCCAAGTCTCGGCGCCTACCACCAATAATACTTAAATGATTATCTGGTGTCATCAAGTGAAAAATTTGCCCTATGAAGTGATCGTTGACATTTTGATATAGCATGTCAAAAATAGCCCTGATGAAGACTCTTGTCCAAGATCGCCGAATATTTCCCTTCGTTCCATTGTCATTCCTTCAGGGACCATAACTTCTTTCGAAGACAATTTCGTTTGGAAGAGAAAGGAGTTCAAGAATTCACAAGCTTTCTGCTTCCTGATCAACAGATACGAAACAGGAACATATCGAGCGGTTGTCGCCGGATCGAATTGTAGGCGCCTAGGGTCTTAGTAAGGCACTTCGGGATGCAAAGACGCCGCGACCCCTATAGTTACGCACCCACCACCTCCACCCATGCAAGCGACCTCATCAATGGGGCTGAGCCCGACCCTTGCCTTAAAGTGTTGTATTTCTTTGAGGGCGGGGGTGGTGCACTAGCAAGTAGCAGGCAAGGCGGCGTTGCTAACCACGCGCGCGATCCGGGATCGACTCCTGGGTTGCCCAATCCAACCAAGCCTTCCATCCCTCCGGGGTCGGTTAATTGGTACCAGACTTGTCTGGGAGGATAAAAAACACTGACTTGTACATCGGCTGGCCCCCGCAAGTCATTGTATAGGCCACATCGCATTCAAACGCCACTGCGAATGTACAAATGGAAGTAGAATGCGTGCCGCATCCCAAAAAGGGATTGATCAACGGCAAATGCTTTATCCTTTTAATTCTATTAATAATCCTTAATTATTGAATTCCTTTCAGTCATTTCAAATGGTCTCTACCGGAAAGCTCTTGATGCCTTTGAACACACATCCCCATTGCAGGAGACGGAATTTGAGGCGCATGACATTGGCCGAACTCGCTCAGAGATGCGCAGTGCACTTGACCTCCGGCGCGACTCGTGATTTCCATCCACTCCATAATGGGTTACCGCTGCTCTAATCATTGCTGATCCCAGCTCTTACCACTCCCCCTTCGCACTGGACCTGATATGAACCCTGTTGTCGAGGATTCTTAACGCATGCTTGACCCTGCCAGCATCTGGCTGTTTATGTACAAAAATGTGTCTCATATGGAAGAAGGTGTAATAGCGATCGTAACATCACATTAGGGCGGCAGTCGTGTAGCGGCAAGTGGCACGCTTACCACGCGCGCGGTCCGGGATCAAATCCTGGTCGCCGGGCCAACCAAGCCTTCCATCCCTCCGGGGTCGGTTAATTGGTACCAGACTTGTCTGGGAGGATAAAAACACTGACTTGTACATCGGCTGGCCCCCGCAAGTCATTGCGCATTCAAACGCCACTACGAATGTACAAATGGAAGTAGAATGCGTGCCGCATCCCAAAAAGGGATTGATCAACGGCAAATGCTTTATCCTTTTATTTTAACATCACATCAGAATTGAACCTCAACGCTAATTTGGGCCTTGGGTTCGTCGGGATTAATTTGCGCTAAGTAAAGCCCGGTTGTTTTCTTCACTGTTTCCCTGAAAATCGCCTTCTTTATTCCGAGTACCATTCCCACAGGAAAATGTCCAAAATAGGGCGACGTTAAGCGTCGACAAACAGTGACAATTTTTTCGAACTTCTCAGTTAGCCTTTTACTATCATAGCTCTTATCGGACTACTGATACCTAGTTTCAATTCAGTAGCGTACGTTACGAGTTATGTTTTGATCAAGAAATCAGGCCAAAATTGAGGAGAGCAGCACTTCGACCTACCAACGTACAATATCTTCATGAGTGGATACTTTTCGTGACCGAGTTCGCGGTCCCCGCACGTTTGGTTGTTCTTGTGTGGAAAGCTGTAGAATATGGTAGTCCTGAAACAACCAACAGTCAAATCATGAAAAAAATGTTAAGCACCTGCAGCGCAGCATCAACTACTAACCTTCGCTTCTTCGACAAGATTCCGGCAGACAGCATCCGCCTTCACCAAAGTATCCTTACTGACAGTATTGACCAGAAATTTAGGGTCGCAAAGCTGAAGGCGCACATGCTCGAACAACTGCAAAACTAGAGTGTAATAGTGTAACGCTGGTCGTTCGCGAAGAATACAGCCATCACTTCTGGGAATAGTAGTCGTCGAGCCGGTAAGTCGAACCTGACCCACTCAACAACCGCTTTGAAAACCTGAAGAACCTGATTCAGATCTTAATGTAGAGAAAGGAGTTCGCATGGGATGGAAGCAGGAGCCTGCTTAAGGACACACCTGTTCTTCTGACGGCACCTGGAGTTCTTCACTTGAAATCAGTTCAATTAATTGGTTACCAGGGAGCCGATAAAACTCGTCAGTGCCAATAACGTCCTGAGGAGATGAAAAGATATGATTTTCTCAATTTGAGTGAGGATTGACAAAGGAATAACCTTGAAGTTGTGCAGGATGAACTCGGAAGCACAGCGTAGAAGCTCTTCACACGCATAAGTGTCGGCAAAAGCTCGAATTTTCAAGCAATTCGAAGCATTCAATTGTTTCTCCAAAAATTCACTGCACTGTTCCTGCAAAGAGAAAAACGGGAACCTTCATATTTCTTACTGTTCAATACTTGAACGAGGCAAAATGTTCCAAATGTTAGCAACTCTTACCTTAACTTCATTCAGCTGAAGCAGGCAAGCGGTGGGCAGAACACTCCACACATTGGTGCTACTGATCCTTATTTTTCCAAAATAGCAAAAATTGATAAGAGCTTCAAGCGCTGGAGCTTCCACATCCTTCAGTTCTATTTCGTCTGCAAAAAAAATTGCCTTCACAAGAATCGCACGTACACTGGTGTGCAATAACTAAGGACCAATTTGGTGGAATTGGATGAAACTGCGCAAGTGTACTGCCAAAAGCCTTACAGTCATGGACATGGAAGTGGGCCTCATATATGCAGCGGTCGGCTTCAGTATGGAGCCAAAAGGGAGTGGCCACATAGAACGAAGGGTTTGGTGGGACAGGACAAGAGGGAGTGTACTGAGCAGGGAGAAGTGACTGTGGAATGTAGTGGTGTTCTTGATTACATCAAGTCTCAGAGACAACACTAGGGTGACTTTACGCGAGGAAGAATCATTGGGAAACTGGAAGAAAGGAAGATTTGTAACGAGTGTGGTCCAGGAGTTTTGTGTTGCTCACACCATTGTTTTGTGCGCATAAGGGCAATATGGACTGCAGCCACTGCTGCCCCTAGAAGAGTAGGTGGTGGATCACGATTAACCGCAACAGCAGGTGATTGCTACGTTGTTGCAACAGGCAAGAATTGACCTACGTCAGTCACAGGTTGCAGTTGCAAAAACATCTATCAGGATTGTGAGGCACGTAATCCCAGGCAGGGTCAAGCGTGCGTTGAGGAATCCTCGACATGTCACAGAGGGGGGGGTCGTATTGGCCCGCTGGGGAGAGATCGGGCCCGATTGATACAGTAGGATCATCGTCGGAGGACAAACATTAAGGATCGAATCGATACCAGGCCAGAGTATTTCCAATAACAATTGATTCCGTCCACACAAAATCTTCGTGATTTAGAGGTGTCCGCTTAGCAATTCTTAGTGACTTTAGTGTTTCATCACCACACAAGTCAAAGGATCCGAAATTCGCACGTTTTCTAGGGATATTTTATCTTTCAAGTAGGTCCTCAAATCCAACGAGATGTGAAGCACACGGCGCATCCCAGAGTGGGCCCAGTTGGTTGCGCGCGCTTCAGCTACGGCTATCTTGATAACGAATCTTAATTCAGGAAGAATCAAGAGGGTTCTGAAAGAGTTCATGTGAAATTACAGAGAGGAGTACACTATTCAACAAGAAACGCAGCCTTCAGCGTCAAATTCACAAGCATGTAACCTTTAAAGTTGAGACCCGCTAAACAATTTTACACTTTTTGCAGAGAGAAAAGCACGAGGATTTTGAATCTGCTCCTACTTCAGTATGTAATCGCCCTGCAAGGAGCTATAGTCGTTGGATAGTGCTAATGTAGCGAAAAAGTACCTTTCGGCGGTACTCGGGCAAAAATCCTCAACGTGGCCATTTTTTAAATAGTGAACGTATTTAGCAGTTTTAGTCATCACGAATTTTCCTCGTTAATTTTGCAAAAATCCTCAACGTGGCCATTTTTTGAGTACTGGACGTATGAAGCTGCTTTAGCGACCGTTTGATAGAGAAAATCTTCTAGTTTTGTATGACGTATCAACTTTTTGAATTTGACGGAAATGAAGCAAGTTATTGCTCCGGAAAGTGTAAAAACTCGTGCTCGTCTCGAATTTTCCTCGTTATTTGATCTAAATTTGTTATTTCTTATAACTTCCTGTAATTTCAGTACTGATTAGAAAAGCTCTTCACAAAACTCCCAAATCTGCTTTCAGATTGAAAATTCGTTAACTTTGAAGAAAGTTATAATCATTTGAATATTTGTTCAAATTTCAATAGTAAATAAGCTGCTCCACGGTCAACGCCAAAGTCCAGTCAACACACAGCTGGCGAAGGCTTTTACAAGGCTTCCTTTGAGCGAAAGGGGACGTGTAAATTGAGAAACCATAATCTGTGTAGTACTAGAATTTGGTAAGTCTTGTGGAGGAAATAAACAAAGAAGAGGTGTTGTCATAGTACGCCATTTCTAGTGACTAGTTTGACGTTTTTTGCTCCGTTTCTCGTTTGCTCGTTTGACAGGACTCGTCATTAATGATCATTCTTTGACTTTTTATACTTTTTAACACGTTGACGACATTGTGCAGCGCATGCGCATCACACCTTGAGCACCGTGTGGGACCGTGTGCAGCGCATGCGCTGCACACACAAAATATTTATTTTTTTCGCGCATGCGCTACTTCTTTTCTAATTTTTTGCATCTATTCTATAGACTACACCATAATATGACTAGACACGGCGAGGTTCATTGAATGGTTGAATATGCTCCTTTTTAGCGAAGGTTTTCTAAGCCCTACGAATTTCCCAATTGTGTTCATTCCTAGTTTCCTTTATATTCTGATAATCTTGGTCATAAAAAAGAGCAGTAGAAGTAAGTACAGACCCACACATATAGCAAGACATATGTTTTTAGTGGAGCAACCGCGTCAAAAATAATTTTGAGGTTCACTGCAGCAAAAGCAACTGAAACTTGCCTTTCATCGCCAGAAAACGTCAATTCGATCGATTTTTTACAGTTGTCCCTTCTGATAAGTTTGACACATCGAATATCATTCTAAACATTTTGTTGCATCCGAGTTTTGGGTATTTAAAGCTCAAAATTCACGGATTTGATGTGAGGCGGCGGCGCCTGCAAAATCGCCGTGGTCCCACGCGGTGCAAAAACCCAAAACGCGCGTTGTCGTCAACGTGTTAAACGAGTTTTTTTTTTTGTGGACGATGGGGTAGCAGGGCTTTTTTATGAGCAGTTTTGGTGGAGAATTAAACAACTTTTTCATAGTTCGGCTTTTAAAGAGGGTTGTTTCATGGACTTCGGCCTTCGGCAGAGGGGGGGGGGTCGTATTTCCGAATTTTCCTCGACGCCTCGCTTGACCCTGTCCCAGGCGGAGCAGTGGTACAGTGACCGTATAGGCATGGTCTGTCTGACCGATGAACAGTATCTGGTGTTCCTTCGAAACCCGCGCATCGGCGGGAACATTTGCTAGGTGTCGGGACATTAGCGAAGGACCACTGATTTGGATGATCGCGTGTTCTTCCCATTTAAGATCAAATTGGATATAAGTAGTGATTTTGGACTTATCCGCACGTGGCTAGAATAGGATCATGTAATCCACCCGCGACAATCGTTCGACATGATTGTTTTGATAGTCTATTCGATATGGTGTGGGGAGGCCTAAAGTCGGAAGATGTACCAAGCTCTCAACTCCTGGTCGCGGAATGCTTTCTGATCGACGTTATTGTGACGCTGTACTCCTCACTTCTGTGCATTTGTTCAAGGATGCCTTTGACCTCAACTTCAATCGTATGGAGGACAAGGTGCGAGAGCATCGAGCAGCCTAGGTGGAAAACTCCTGAAAATCGAGGATTTCCAGCGATCGGTCGAGCCTGCCCGCTTACCTCAAGCAAATGCTATGGAGCACGTGTGGAGCGCATTCAGGAAAGCTATTGTAGCGCATCCCCATGCGCCAACAATTGTCCAGCAGTTGTCAATTACGGTCTTCAAGGAATGGATCGCTTCTCCACAGGAACTCTTAACCAACCTCGTGCAGTATTGGAGCACGTGGCAGAGCGTGCTTTGCAGTCCGTAGTGTTCGTACACCCCACCAAGGACCAGCTCCTCTCTTTTGAATATCTGCCATGAGTTGGAGTAGCCTCACCCATCGACCGCTTCAGACAGGGTATTTGAGAGAAAAATGTCTTTTCCAATCGCCCGTTGCGCTTTTCTGCTAGTAACTCTCTGCACTGTACCGCAACATTTACTTCTATGTATGTGCCAAATTTGATCGCAGCGTTAATTTGATCGATGGTTAGCTAGCAACCGGAAATCATGTGAAAGTTACTTCTGTCCCGAATTTGCACACCAGTGTAGTAAGAGAACTTCTCCTAATATACAGCACGTTTCAAAAGTATACAGGCACCTTTGAAAAGTGCTGTTCCGAATTAGGATGAAGATTCATGGCTTTTCACTTCTCTTATTGAACTGGACATGCCTGAGACAACACCTTACTTCATTTATGAGCGCAATATGAGCTGCACACATTTTTATGAGGAAATTAAAAATGCTCCTGTTCCGAAAGTGTAAAAGAAAGAATGTTCGACAGTCAAGTTCAATTATATATTTTTTGCCTATTTTCTCAGTAAATCCGGCCAATAGCTCTCTACCTACCAGCAGGTTTGTGCGATGGTTGTATTAACACCTTGGTGCCCTACAGCCCATATGTGGGCTGCAGTCTGTCAATTGTTTGGGACCTTATGACCCATATTTTAGACAAATGAATCAGGTTTCCCATTAGTTTTTCTCTCTATTTCATTCAACGAGAATTCTTTTAAGTCATTTAAGAAGTTTTTGTTCTCAATTCCATTGGTAAGTTTATACAAAAAGTGACTGAAGTCCGAAGCGGCTGCAAAACGTAAAACATGTGCGGTCTCCAAGGTGTTAATAATATTATGAGAAATACAATTATTAATATGTATGAGAGAGATACAATTATTAATTATTATATATAATATTATGAGAAATTCAATGGTAATAACCATCTTTGGAAGGTCACACGTGTAAAGTACGCTATATCCACCAATCGCGCTCTGGATCTACCCCGTCACTCAGTCAGGTGCGGCATTACTTTCGCTTCGCGCATCCAGAATACTGTCTGGAGAACTCCAGCTCAACTCCAAGTATTGTGCGGAAGACCATGGTGAAGATCTCTGACTGGGTAAACACAGCACAGGAAACAGCTCGCCTCGAATCAGCGAGAAGACCCTGAATGGGATTCAACTAGTGGGTGTACAGGTTTTGGAGAGCGCCTTTATTGAAGTGACTATACAAAGCTCTTTTGAATTTGGTTAGCTTTTTTAAGATAGGTTTGGTTGAAACGTACCTGATGCATGTCACACCTGATGGTAAGATTCTAGAAAATTTACACTAGTATTCGCCAAGGGAACATCGTTGGCGAGATGCACCGGGCTGCATTGTGCAGC